TCTTTTTCATCTCTTTTTCATCTCACAATTTTTTTTCAATTTTTTTTCACATTTCTTGTCTTTCTCCCTTTTATCATTTCTACTGTGGTTGTTGCTCCTTAAAAGTTTCCTTTCTTGTTCTTGCAAAACTGCAAATAGGCTGTGCTATATCCAATGTTTGCTCTATCTCTGGAACACTTAACCGGACTCAATCTTTCTCACCCTATACTTGATATTGTTGTTGTTGCCCCTCATTCACACCCTGATTTGTGTGTGTGTGTGAAAGTGTATGTGTTTATGTGTATGTGAAGTTAATGTTAATGGTTGGAGTATTGAATTGTTATGAGGTGAGAATAAAGGAATTGCTTTAAAGGTTTCAACGACAAAATACACAGTCAATCCACTTTAAGTATACATCCTGTGAAGTGCTCGGAGGTATCTTGATGACATGGTAAGGAACTATATCAAATGCAAGTATTATTATTAAATACAGTTATATTCCCTGATGCAACACACCATGAAGCAGTAGTTGACAAAACAATTGTTTTCTATTAATCAGTTACTCTTGAAAATTACGACTTTGAGGCAGGTTTATTTGTGGTGACAATTTTCTTCTCGGTAGGATGAGAAACAGATATATAACTAAATATAAAATTGAACTATATGATTCGGGGAGTTTGCAATACGTGTCTAAAATGCTTGAGTTTGCGATGCTTGTCCTGAAGTAACATTTTTGTAGAAATAGGAAAATAAATCCATTTAAAATTCACAACAACTTGAATTTATACAGCGGCCTCCACGTGGGGATGTGTCTCAGAGTACTTAACGATGGCGGAGCCCGACACTGAACCAGGGGAGGGGGAAGGTGACCATAGGCACCGTTGAAGAGGAAGGTCTTCAGGCACAACCTGAAAATGGGGAAAGAGCGGGCGAGGCGAAGGGATTGAGGGAGGGATATAAGCATTTGATGAATTAAATAGAGAGCTCAGCCATCTCTCTCACACAAATAGACAGAAACCTTCAGAAAGAGACAGACATTCACACACAGTGTTTCTCTTGTCTCTCTCCCTCCTCCAACTAACAACAAGATTACATTTATAGAGCGCCTTTCACGTCGGGAGGATATCCCAAAGCGCTGAACAGTCAGATGTTGGGGCCCGAACATGGGGGAGGGGGGGTGTAGGGGTGAGGGAAGGCAGAGAGGTGGGAGGGAGACCAAAGGCACAGTCCAAGAGAAGGATCTTGAGACCGGCCTTGAAGGAGACGAGGGAGGAACCGAGGGGAAGGGACCGTGGGATGGACTTCAAGAGCGTGTGGGCAGAGAGGCTGTGCCCGGCCAGCGAGGGGCGGGGAGGGTGGGACACATGGAGGAGGCCGGAGCCCGATGACCGGAGGGAGTGGGCGGGTTGGTAGGGAGTCAGCAGGTCAGAGAGGGAGGAGGGGGCGAGGCCAGGGAGGGCCTTAGCTCAGTGGTTAGAGCACTCGTTTTGCAAGCGAGAGACCTGAGTTCAATTCCAGGCAGAGGGTGAAACCTTGGGCAAGTTTCCTTACTCCACACAGAGCCTAATAATAATCCTCCAAAAAACATAAAAAATCGGTCATTTCAACCCACAGCTGTTTGTGGAACACACACTCCTGTGAGCAATCGGCCGCTGCGCTTCACCCACAAATATACAGTCAATTCACTTTACAGTGTATCCTGTGAAGCGCTTTGAGACGTCGAGAAGACGTGATGAGGCGCTGTGTCAAACGCCAGAATTATTATTATTATTATTACTTTCACACAAACTCAGCCCTGACCCCACACTCACACTCACACCCCCTCACACTCACCTCACACTCACCTCACACTCACACCCCCCTCACACTCACCCCCCCACACTCACCCCCCCCCCCACACTCACCTCACACTCAACACCCTCACACTCAGCCCCCTCACACTCACCTCACACTCACCTCACACTCACACCCCCCTCACACTCACCCCACCTCACACTCAACCCCCACACTCAACCCCCCCCACACTCACCTCACACTCACCCCCCCTCACACTCAGCCCCCTCACACTCACGCCCCTCACACTCAACCCCCCCCACACTCACCCCCCCTCAAACTCACCCCCCTCACTCAGCCCCCCCCACCCTCAGCCCCCCTCACACTCAGCCCCCCTCACACTCAGCCCCCCCTCACACTCACCCCCCCTCAAACTCAATCCCCCTCACACTCAGCCCCCCCCACCCTCAGCCCCCCCTCACACTCAGCCCCCCTCACACTCAGCCCCCCTCACACTCAGCCCCCCTCACACTCAGCCCCCCCCTCACACTCACCCCCCCTCAAACTCACCCCCCCTCACACTCAGCCCTCCCCTCACACTCAGCCCCCTCACACTCAGCCCCACCCCTCACACTCAGCCCCCCCTCACACTCACCCCCCTCAAACTCACCCCCCCTCACACTCAGCCCCACCCCTCAAACTCACCCCCCTCACACTCAGCCCCCCTCACACTCAGCCCCCCCCTCACACTCACCCCCCTCAAACTCACCCCCCCCCACACTCAGCCCCCTCACACTCAGCCCCCCCCACCCTCAGCCCCCCCTCACACTCAGCCCCCTCACATTCAGCCCCTCCTCTCACACTCAGCCCCTCCCCTCACACTCAGCCCCTCTTCTCACACTCAGCCCCCCCCTCACACTCAGCCCCACCCCCCTCACTCAGCCCCACCCCTCACACTCAGCCCCTCCCCTCACACTCAGCCCCTCCCCTCACACTCAGCCCCACTCACACTCACCCCCCTCACACTCAGCCCCACCCCCTCACACTCAGCCCCTCCCCTCACACTCAGCCCCTCCCATCACATTCAGCCCCTCCCCTCACACTCAGCCCCCCTCACACTCAGCCCCTCCCCTCACACTCAGCCCCACCCCTCACACTCAGCCCCCTCACACTCAGCCCCTCCCCTCACACTCAGCCCCTCCCATCACATTCAGCCCCTCCCCTCACACTCAGCCCCACTCACACTCAGCCCCTCCCCTCACACTCAGCCCCCCTCACACTCACCCCCCACACACTCACTCCCCCTCACACTCAGCCCCTGACACACTCACTCCCCCTCACACTCAGCCCCTCTCACACTCAGCCCCTCACACACTCAGCCCCTCACACTCAGCCCCTCCCCTCACACTCAGCCCCCCTCACACTCACCCCCCCTCACACTCAGCCCCTCCCCTCACACTCAGCCCCCCTCACACTCAGCCCCTCCCCTCACACTCAGCCCCTCCCCTCACACTCAGCCCCTCCCCTCACACTCAGCCCCCCTCACACTCACCCCCTCCCCTCACACTCAGCCCCTCCCCTCACACTCAGCTCCCCTCACACTCACCCCCCTCACACTCAGCCCCCCTCACACTCACCCCCTCCCCTCACACTCAGCCCCTCCCCTCACACTCAGCCCCCTCACACTCAGCCCCTCCCTCACACTCAGCCCCTCCCCTCACACTCAGCCCCTCCCCTCACACTCAGCCCCTCCCCTCACACTCAGCCCCACCCCTCACACTCAGCCCCCTCACACTCACCCCCCTCACACTCAGCCCCTCCCCTCACACTCAGCCCCCTCACATTCAGCCCCTCCTCTCACACTCAGCCCCTCCCCTCACACTCAGCCCCTCTTCTCACACTCAGCCCCCCCCTCACACTCAGCCCACCCCCCTCACTCAGCCCCACTCACACTCACCCCCCTCACACTCAGCCCCCTCACACCCAGCCCCCCTCACACTCAGCCCCCCTCACACTCAGCCCCACCCCCCACTCAGCCCCCCACCCCCCCCTCCACTCAGCCCCACTCACACTCAGCCCCCCTCACACTCAGCCCCCCTCACACTCAGCCCCCCACACACTCACCCCCCTCACACTCAGCCCCCCTCACACTCACACTCAGCCTCACACTCAGCCCCCCTCACACTCAGCCCCACCCCTCACACTCAGCCCCTCACACACTCACTCCCCCTCACACTCAGCCCCTCACACACTCACTCCCCCTCACACTCAGCCCCCCTCACACTCACACTCAGCCTCACACTCAGCCCCCCTCACACTCAGCCCCACCCCTCACACTCAGCCCCTCCCCTCACACTCAGCCCCTCCCCTCACACTCAGCCCCACTCACACTCACCCCCCTCACACTCAGCCCCCCTCACACTCAGCCCCTCCCCTCACACTCAGCCCCTCCCATCACATTCAGCCCCTCCCCTCACACTCAGCCCCCCTCACACTCAGCCCCTCCCCTCACACTCAGCCCCACCCCTCACACTCAGCCCCCCTCACACTCAGCCCCTCCCCTCACACTCAGCCCCTCCCATCACATTCAGCCCCTCCCCTCACACTCAGCCCCACTCACACTCAGCCCTCCCCTCACACTCAGCCCCCCTCACACTCACCCCCCTCACACTCAGCCCCCCTCACACTCACCCCTCCCCTCACACTCAGCCCCTCCCCTCACACTCAGCCCCCCTCACACTCACCCCCTCCCCTCACACTCAGCCCCCTCACACTCAGCCCCTCCCCTCACACTCAGCCCCCCTCACACTCACCCCCTCCCCTCACACTCAGCCCCTCCCTCACACTCAGCCCCTCCCTCACACTCACCCCCTCCCCTCACACTCAGCCCCCCTCACACTCACCCCCCTCACACTCAGCCCCCCTCACACTCACCCCCTCCCCTCACACTCACCCCCTCCCCTCACACTCACCCCCTCCTCACACTCACCCCCTCCCCTCACACTCACCCCTCCCCTCACACTCAGCCCCCCCTCACACTCAGCCCCCCTCACACTCACCCCCCTCCCCTCACACTCAGCCCCTCCCCTCACACTCAGCCCCCCTCACACTCAGCCCCCCTCACACTCACCCCCTCCCCTCACACTCAGCCCCTCCCCTCACACTCACCCCCCCCTCACACTCAGCCCCTCCCCTCACACTCAGCCCCTCCCATCACATTCAGCCCCTCCCCCGGAAATGCAACACTACAGGAAGTGACGTAGTTGCTGCGTATGGCGAACGGTGCAGGTGAGTGAGAAAGGGAATCGTCTGCGCTGCAGTGTGTGAGTGCGGATGTGGGGCCCGAGTGCGGGGTCTCTGATGCCTCTGTGGTCAGAATAGTGTGTGTCGGGTTATAATGTCTCTGAGACCGCGATACAGTGTCTGAGACCGCGATACAATGTTTCTGGGGCCGAGATCAGTATTTCTGAGGCCGCGATACTGTGCCTCTAATGTCGGGTTATAATGTCTCTGAGGCCGCGATACAGTGTGTCTGAGGCCGCGATACAGTGTGTCTGAGGCCGCGATACAGTGTGTCTGAGGCCGCGATACAGTGTGTCTGAGGCCGCGATACAGTGTGTCTGAGGCCGCGATACAGTGTGTCTGGTGTCAGGATGCAGTGTGTCTGCAGCCGGCATCAGTGTCTCTGAGACTGGGTTAGAGTTTCTCTGAGGCCAAGATACAGTGCGTCTGGGGCCGGGATACAGAGTGTCTGGGTCCAGGACGTAGTGTGTCTACGGCCGGTATACAGTGTGTCTGGTGCCCGAATACAGTTTGTCTAGGGCCGGAATACAGTGTCTCTGAGACCGGGTTACAGTGTCTCTGAGGCCACGATACAGTGTGTCTGAGGCCACGATACAGTGTGTCTGAGGCTGGGATACTGTTTATCTGGGCCGGGATACACTGTCTGAGACCGGGATACAGTGTGTCTGGGGCCGGGAAACAGTGTGTCTGGGGCCGGGATTCAGCGTGTCTGAGGCCGGACACAGTGATTCTGGGGCCGGTGTACAGTGTGTCTGAGACCGGGATACAGTGTCTGAGACCGGGATACAGTGTGTCTTGGGCCGGGATACAGTGTGTCTGAGGCCAGTATACTGTGTCTGAGACCAGGATACAGTGTGTCTGAGCCGGGATACAGTGTGTCTGGGGACAGGATCAGTGTGTCTGGGGATGGATACAATGTGTTTGGGGCCAGGATCAGTCTGTCTGGGCCCGTGATACAGTGTGTCTGAGGCCGGGATACGGTGTGTCAGGGCCCGGGATCAATGTGTCTGGGGCCGGGATACTGTTTGTCTGGGCCGGGATACAGTGGGTCTGAAGCCAGGATACAGTGTGTCTGAGATCTCGTTACAGTATCTCTGAGGCTGGGTTACAGTGTGTCTGTGGACGGGATACAGTGAGTCTGCGCCTAGGATCAGTGTCTGGGGACGGATACAGTGTGTCTGGGGCCAGGATCAGTGTGTCCGCGGCCAGGATACAGTGTTTCTGGGGCCGGGATACAGTGGGTCAGGGAATCAAACCCAGATCTCCCACTTGTGAGGCGAATGCTCTAACCACTGAGCTAGGATTCCACTCGGAGGCTCTGACTTTGAATTTGCAATGGATCCAGCTATTTAAAGTAAATAAATTGAGCAACAACTCTAGTCTGTATTGGATTGAGGCTCCAGTTCTGTAGTAATCTATGGGTAGATTTGGAGCTGCTTCCTGACATCAGGCTGACACCAAAGTTGCAGAAGTACCTTGTGTCTTACCTTTCTAAAATTGAAGATAAATAACCTTGAGGCCATTTAAGATGGGAAAAGCGGAGTGCTTCAAACCCTGATATATTTAACAACCTGAATAAAGAAGCTTCAAAGTTGAAGGTTCTATCATTAATCCTGGAGCTACTTTGGTACTTGCCCTGCAGGAAAATATTCACCACTTTGGGGCAAGAATTAGTGTGGAATACATTTCTGCAATACGATTATATATTTTGACCTTTAGTTGTATCGTGCATCAACAAGTTTGGGGTTTCAGGGGTGGGGGGAAGTTTACGAGATATGTTATCACTGTGATAAATAAAGTGATTTGTGGAAGAATTGAGCTGATGTATTTATAATACTTCACAGCACCAAAGAGGACTGTCAGCATGCAGCAGAACCAGCATTGCTCCAGTGCCAGCGTGCTACAGGACCAGCATTACTCCAGTGCCAGCGTGCTACAGGACCAGCATTGCATGCAGCTCCTTGACCAGCTGAACAAGCAGAGAGAGAACGGCTTCCTATGTGACTGCACAGTTGTCATTGGTCAGCTGCAGTTCAAAGCTCACCGTAATGTGCTTGCAGCGTTCAGTGGGTATTTCAGAGCTGTGTACGCACTGGAGAGCCGTGTGGTATTCCTGGATCAGAGCCAGATCAGCACCGAGGGGTTTCATAAACTACTGGATTTTATATACACTGGAAACATTAATATTGATGGGTAAGAAACAGTGTTCTGTGTTTGCTTGCTCTTGATTGAAAGACGGTTGGACAATTGAAAAATATATGAGGATATCTGAGATTTTGCACTTCTTGGGTTGCAGTAAAGGTATTATTTGTGTGAATAGACTGTATATGGAAAGGAATATTCCAATAAAGAGAAAAGTGAGTGTTTCAAATTCAGAGGTTGTATGGAAGATTAGAGACACTGTAAAACAAAAAGAATTCCTAGCATTTACATGGAAGAAGAAACAAAAGCAAGGACACATTTAAAGAAGGGAGAGAAGCTGCAAAGAGACATGAGAAAGAAAAAGTGTAATAGAAATTGGCAAAAATGTAAGCAACAATAATAAGGCAATCCCTACATAAGATTGGTGAGCTGCGGCTCAAGTTGCCTCATGGGGTTATGATGCAGTGGCGAAAACGGAGACTTGGCTCAAACAAGGGCAGGAATGGGAGCTGAATATTCGTAGCTACAATGTATTCAAGAAGGAAGAAAAGTGGGGGGCTGGGGGGCAATATGGATTAAAGACATGGTTATGGCCCTGGAAGGGGATGATATGCTAGAGGGTACAAAAGCAGAATTTTATTTGGTTAGAGTTGAAGAGCAGCAGAGGAGCTGTTACTATGTTAGCTGTATACTACAGACCATCAAATAGTGGGAAGGAAATAGGAGCAAATCTGCAAGCAGATTTCAGAAAGATGCAAAACCAATAGAGTAGTAATAATGGGGGACTTCAATTATCCAAACATTGACTGGGAAACACACAGTGTAAAGGGCAAGGAGGGGGAAGGATTCCTGAAATGTGTGCAGGATAACTTTCTGGATCAGTATGTTTCCAGCCCAACGAGGAAGGAAGCAGTGCTGGATCTCGTTCTGGGGAATGAAGTGGGGCAAGTGGAGCAGATTTCAGTAGGCAAGCATCTGGAAAACAGTATTGGGACCACTGCTCTTTTTGATCTATCTAAATGACCCTGAACTTGAGTATAGGAAGTACAATTTCCAAGTTTGCAGATGATACTGAGCTAGGAAAAGTAGTAAATGGTGAGGAAGATAGTAGCAGACTGCAAGAGGACATAGACTGGTAAAATGGGCAGACACGTGGCATATAAAGTTTAATGTGGAGAAATGCAAAATGATGCATTTGTGAGGAAGAATGAGGAGAGGCAATATAAGCTGATGGTACAATCTTAAATGGTGAAGGAACAGAGGGACCTGGAGGTCATATAGTAAATCTTTGAAGATGGCCGGACAGGAAGATAAAGCTGTTAAAAAAGTATACGGGATACTCGGCTTTATAAATAGGGGCATAGAATACACAAGTCAGAGAGTTATGATGAATCTTTATCAGGCCTCAGCTAAAGACTGTGTTCAGTTCTGGGCCCCACACTTTAGGAAGGATGTCAAGGCATTGGAGAGGGTGCAAAGGAGATTGACCAGAATGGGACCAGGAATGAGGGGCTGCAGTTATCAGGAGAGGCTGGAGAAGCTGGGATTATTCTCCTTGGAGCAGAGAAGGTTAAGAGGAGACTTTATAAAAAAATTCAAAATTATGAGGGGATTCGATAGGATGAACAAGGAGAAACTATTCCCACTGGCGGGTGGGTCGGTAACCCGAGGACACCGATTTCAAATAGATGTTAAAAGAAACTGAAGGGAGGGGAGGAGAAATGTTTTCACACAATGAGTTGTTGGGATCTGGAATGCATTGCCTGAAAGGGTAGTGAAAGCCGATTCAATTACAAATTTTAAGATGTAGATAATTATTTGGGGAGGACAAGTTTGCAGGGCTATGAGGAGAGCGCGGGGGAGTGAGATTGAATTGGAAGCTCTTTTCAAAGAGCCGACACAGACGCAATGGGCCGAATAGCCTCCTTCTGTGCTGTATAATTCAATGATTCTATGTTAAGTACAACAACAACAAATTACATTTGTATAGAGCCTTTCATTTTGGGAGGATGTCCCAAGGTACTGGACAGTCAAGGATTTGCACACAAGCTGAAGTACATTATTAGTAAAAGGGTTATGGAAGTCATGGAAGAGTTGCTAAGAAGTGAAGGAGTTAAGTTTGCAGTGGAGAGTGAAAGAATAACAGAAATAATAAAAACTTTGCCTCAGTTTTTACAGAAGAGGTGGATATGGGAATGCAGAATCAGTGTAGAACAATGAATGTAGATTCTTTGCATTATTAATAGTGCCACTAAAAAATTAATTAAATTTAAACAAGTCACCTTGTCCTGGTGGTATTCTTCAGCGAGGAGTGATACAGGAGGATGAGGAGGAGCAGATACTCATATGGAGTATATATCACAGAGTTGGGCTTGATGGCCTGCTTCTGTGCTTTAAAGTTCTGGGTATATATCTGAAGATCCTTAGGGAAGTTTGGGAAGAAGAATCAAGTGTGTAACTATAACTTTTGAAAATGCTATGGAAAAGTGTCTGGAAGCTGGCAGGGTTTGACGCCTCCTTCAAAAAAGATGATGGTTAACCAAAACAATTAAGTCATTCGTACTTCACTTGTTGGTAAATCACTAGAATGTATAATATGGGATGAAATTATTAAGCACTTGGAGAAACACATGACAATCAGGTTCAGTCAGCATGAATTTTTAAAAGGCACTTCTGTTTCACAAGCCTATAATTTCCTGGTTTATTCATATTAGTTTTTTTGTAGAGGGCATCAAGGTGAGAGTATTGACAACTGAGCCAGGGAGACATAAATAATTATAGTGTAGTTAGAATTCCAAACCAACTTTAAAAATTATTTGAGGTGATAACATAGAACACAAAACTTAGCAACGTGGTAAACAGTGAAGAGGATGGTAACAGACTGCAGGAGGACATAGGCAGACTGGTGACATGGGCAGACACACGGCAGATGAAGTTTAATGCAGAGACGTGTGATGCAATGCATTTTGGGAGGAAGAATGAGGAGAGGCTAAATGCGTTTTAAAGAGGGTTCAGGCACAGAGAGACCTGGAGGTTTACATACACAGGTCTTTGAAGTTGCCAGGACAGGTTGATTGAGCTGTTAAAAAAAATGGGATCCTTGGGTTTATAAATAGAGGCATAGAGTACAAAAGCAGGCCTCAGCTAGAGTATTGTGGAGTCCTGTAGCTCAGTGGTTAGGGCACTTGCCTTGCAAGCAAGACACCTGGGTTCAATCCCAGCAGGGCGAAACCTTGGACAAGTTTTCTTACTCCACACGCCTAATAATTATCCCTCTAAAAAACAATAATAAATTGGTCATTTCAACCCACGGCTGTTTGTGGGACGCTGCTGTGCGCAATTGGCTGCCACGCTTTGCCCACAAATATACAGTCAATTCACTTTACAGCATATTCTGTGAACTGCTTTGAGATGTCTAAAAGACGTGAAAAGCGCTATGTCAAATGCAAGGATTATTATTATTATTGTTGTGTCCAATTCTGGACACTTTAGGAAGGATTCAACGCTTTGTGGAGAGGGTGCAGAGAAGATTCGCCAGAATGGCACCAGGGATGAGGGACTTTTGTTATGTGGAAAGAGATAGGGAGAAACTGTTTGCACTGGCAGGTGGATGAGTAACCAGGGAACATATATTTAAGATAATTGGCAAAAGAACCAGAGGGGAGATGAGGAGATTTTTTTTTTACACAGGGATTTTTTATGGTCTGTAATGCACTGCCTAAACGAGTGATGGAGACAGATTCAATAACAACTTTCAAAGGGGAATTAGATAGGGACTTGAAAAGGAAAACAATTGCAAGAATATGGGGAAAGAGCGGGGCAGTGGGACTGAGTGGGTAGCTCTTCCAAAGAACCAGCACAGGCACAAGTAGCCTTCTTCTGTGCTGTAATATTCTATGATTCTATGAGAACCTCTCTCATCAATAAGATCCTGGGCAGTTTAATTTAATTTAGTCCAATTTTACAAAGTCTGGTAGTTCATCAGTCTTCTTAGTGTGGTGTATTGGTTGGAGATACCTAAAATTCTGTATATTCACATATGGAGCCCTGACAATACCAAACTAGTTGAGGATCAAGTCAAGACAATATGTGTGAATCTCCATATAATACATTGCAAGCATGTCACGGGAACCAATGGTAAATCCAACAGGAAAGGATTGATTGAGCCTCTTGCCCACATTGTTTACTTTCATCTTTGTCTTGAAGCTAAATAAACATAATGAGATCTAATTTCATGTTTGTAAATGAGACGAATTGTGCTAATCATGGCTTTTATTTCTGACTTTGCCAATTTGTGATTCTCTTTAAACCCATTTCAAATATCTGTAATCCAATACTGTAGTCACAAAATGAAATTTGCAACAAATATTACAAATTGTTTGTGAATTTGCAAATTAGACCCCAAGATTAATTAATAAAAATAATGAATTTTATAACTTCTAATCTACCTTTTTCATCCAGCATCTAATTTTGAGGGAAGCGGGGGAAGGATGGTTCTAATGCCTGCTTCTGTCTATCCATAGATATAACGCTGCTGAAATCCATGTGGCTGCTAGTTACCTTCAGTTGGAGGAAGTAACTAGAATCTGTAAAGCAAAGAGTGAGGCTCTTACTGTTAACTTGAGCCCCATCTCTAAAGGATATTCTGACCTACAGAAGAATGCTGATCGAAGCAATGACAATACTTGCATCTCCTCTTCATTTGTAGAGAACGGTGTGTCCCTAGGACAACGGACCTCACCCATCCAGGGAGAGCAGGGCACAACAGATGGAAGTCAAAATGTTAATTGTTGTGATATGAGCTGGGATCCCAAAGCGGAGTTCTACATACAGTCAGAGAACATGAAAACAAGAAAAAGAGGAGCAAGGAAAGCAAAAAAACATGACCCAGATTGGAACTCAGCAAGGGGAGAAAATGAGGCCAATCGATCCAAGTGCATAAGAGTTAAACGGAAACATAAGTACTGTGTGAGAAAGGTGGAAGACAGTAAGGAGCATGCCGGCAGGTTGCTGGTGTTACCTGAACCAGAGGTTCACGTAGACTTAGAGTCTGGCGTTGATCCTGAATCTGTCTTATCCAATGACTGTAAAAATCTTTTAGCTGAGAATACAACAGTTCAAAACACAAATGGGAAACAGAAACGTAATCAATTACAGAGCAATGGTCCATTGCCAAAACAATGCAAACTGAACTTAGAACCTCAAGAAAATTGTCTTGAGATGGATGGGAAAGAGCTGAAAATGAAGCCAATCTGTAACATTTGTGGAAAGATGTTCTCTGAAGCTAGCAGCCTCCGACGACACATGAGGATTCACAAAGGACTAAAACCGTACATTTGTCATCTCTGTGGAAAAGCCTTTACTCAATGCAATCAGCTGAAAACACATGTCAGGACCCACACAGGTGATATAAAACCTGTTATAAAACACTTCAGCTTTAGCTAGTGACTATGTTCAGTTCTGGGCACCACTTTAGGAAGGATGTCAAGGCATTGGAGAGGGTGCAAAGGAGATTGACCAGAATGGTACCAGGAATGAGGGGCTTCAGTTATCAGGAGAGGTTAGAGAAGCTGGGATTATTCTTCTTGGACCAGAGAAGGTTAAGAGGAGACTTAATAAAAGTTTTCAAAATTATGAGGGGATTCAATAGGGTGAACAAAGAGAAACTATTCCCACTGGCGGGTGAGTTGGTAACCCGAGGACACTGATTTAAAATAGATGTTAAAAAAAACAAAGGGGAGGTGAGAAGAAATGTTTTCACACAGCGAGTTTTGGGGATCTGGAATGCATTACCTGAAAGGCTGGTGGAAGCTGATTCGATAACAACTTTTAAGGGAGGAAGTAGATAATTATTTGGGGAGGACAAGTTTGCAGGGTTATGGGGAGAGAGCGGGGGAATGGGGTTGAATTGAAAGCTCTTTTCAATGGGCCGAATGGTCTCCTTCTGTGCTGTATGATTCTATGACATGGAATGGGCTAGAGCCTTAGATTTGTGCTGGTGTAAGGCACTGTTTGGTTTGCATCCAGAAGCCCAAAATTCAAATTTGTCTTTGCCTATGAGATAATTTTGACCCACGATCAAAGTTACAGATAATAGACCTTCAGTCTGTGACCTGGGCTCCCTGTGCCTCTCATGTTCTCCTTGACCTCTTTGCTACCGTCTACACTGTTGACCGCTCTATCCTCCTTGATCACCTCTCATCCTCCTCTTTGATTTCCTGGTTCCATTCCTGCTTGTCCAATCACTTACACTTTGTTTCCTCCAATGGCTTCTCTTTCTGTCCCTGCACCATGCCACTACCTCTGTAACTTCCTCCGTAAACTCCCCTTTGTCCCGATGGATGGGGCTCATTTGGAATATAAACATTGTTCATTGTACAGTTCTGAACTGTGTACAATTCTGGTTGCCGCATTACAAAAACTTTTTGAAAAAGACAGACTAGCTGAGTTTCGGTGTCTACGTAATTCACTGAAACCAAGACAATACCCCAATCTCGCTTACAAAGCCATGTGTTCATAGTTATCTTTAGCTGTCATATTGTTCATAACTTTTATTAGCCAGTATTTTTTGTAAGGATTGATAAATGAAACTGAATGATTTTCTGCTGAATGTAAGAGTAGCTGAGTTCACCGGAGTTTGCATTGAAGCAATGTTGCAAATCCACACTTCTCTCACAAGAGCACTGAATGCTGTAACTTATTGTAGGAATTCTGCAAATCTTCATAGGTGATCAAACCATGTTTTAAATATGGTGGGAAAAGGCAAATATTGCAACATTGTCAGTTGTTCCTTTAGTAATATTCCTGCTGAATATCTGCTATAGAGGCATTGAGGTGTAAAATATCTAAGAAGTTGAAGCGCACATGACAATGCTGTGTGGGCAGTGAGTAAAGCAAACCAGATGTTGGGATGTATCAAAAGATGAATAGCAGCCAAAATAGTGAGGTAATCCTCCACTGTATTATTATAATATAACTATAAATAAATAATCATTGGTGAGACTACAACAACAACAAGATTCCATTTATAAAGCGCCTTTCACGTCAGGAGGACGTCCCAAGGCGCTGCACAGTTGGGTCATGACCCGAGCATTGGGGGGAAATGGTCAGGGTGAGGGGAGGGAAGGGAGGGAGCGAGGAGGGGGGAAATGGTCAGAGTGAGGGGAGGGAAGGGAGGGAGCGAGGAGGGGGGAAATGGTCAGAGTGAGGGGAGGGAAGGGAGGGAGCGAGGAGGGGGGAAATGGTCAGGGTGAGGGGAGGGAAGGGAGGGAGCGAGGAGGGGGAAATGGTCAGGGTGAGGGGAGGGAAGGGAGGGAGCGAGGAGGGGGAAATGGTCAGGGTGAGGGGAGGGAAGGGAGGGAGCGAGGAGGGGGTAGAGAGTCGAGAGGGGAGCTGAAGGCTGAAGGTCAAAGAGAAAGGTCTTGAGACCGGCCTTGAAGGAGGAGAGGGAGGAAGCGGCGAAGGCACTGGGGGATGGAGTTCCAGAGCCTCAGGGCTGAGAGGCTGAAGGCCCGACCACCGATGGTAGGGCGATTGGGGCGGGAGACGTGGAGCAGACCGGAGCCAGAGGAACGGAGGGTACGGGCAGGTAGGTAGGGGGATAGTAGGTTGGAGAGGTAGGAGGGAGCAAGGCCGTGAATGGCCTTGTAGGTGAGGATGAGGATCTTGAAATCAATCCTCTGGGGGATGGGGAGCCAGTGGAGGCGAGCGAGGGTGAGGATGATGTGGTCCCGAAGCCTGGTGCGTAGCAGACTGTGTACAGCTCTGGTCACCACAGTACAAAAAAGATATTGGAGAAATCGAGAGGATACAGAATGACTGAAGGAATGGACTATGAGGAGCAACTAACTAACTTGGGCATGTTAATGCTGCAAAAGAAAGGATTGAGCAACATGATCGCTGTCTTTAAGATTCTAAAGGGGCAAAACCATGTAGATCATGACAGGCTGTTTCAACTTGTCCAGAATAGTAAAACCGGAAGACATGACCTGTGATTGAAGGGAGTAAACTCAGAATGAATCTATGCAAACACTATTTCAGTGAGCGAATAGCGAACCTGTGGAACAGGCTCCCGAGGGAGACAGTTGAAGCAGAAAATGTTGATTCCTTCAAACACAGATTAGATAGTTTCCTTTTAGAAAATAACATTATGGGATATTGTACATAGGGAGTTCGGATCATATGTGCAATGCTACGGCTAGGAAGGCAGAAGGCAAACTAGATGGACTTTGGTCTTTTTTTGATCTAGCATTTCTTATATTCTTATGTTCTTATATCTATGATGAATGGAGGAGAAATGACTGAGGTAGAGGCATAGAGTGAAAGCTGGTGTGTAAAACCTTTACCATCACTGTACCATCATTGGTTCCAGAATGGCAACCTAAACTCCTGAGGTTCTGAAGGAATTGGCTCTGGTGGAGCTCGTCACACATCATTTTCTAACTTTGAAATTCCAAAGGATTAGAAAATGACATTTAAAAGGTGATCATCAGATGGTGAAACAAAAAACCTTAAAGGGTTTCAAAAGGGAACTGGACAAGTTCTTGTCAACTCTAGAATTCAGGATTATTAAATGTAGAATTGGATATTGCAGGAGCAGTCATGCTCCTTGTAAGCCTAAAATTGGCATTGTGTTATTTTGGTTTTGGTTGAGTATGTATTGTGGCATTATATTGTGTGCAGATCTGTAAAGGATCTCAATTGCAGTTTTGTTGTTGGCTACTCAGGCCTGCAGGCTGAATTTGTTTTGGTTTAAATTATTTTAGGTGAGAAACCATATCAGTGCAATATGTGTGATAAAAGTTTTGCTCAGAAATGCCAGCTGGTGTTTCATAGCCGCATGCATCATGGGCAGGAGAAACCCTACACCTGTGAGGTCTGCGACTTGCAGTTTGCAACATCTAGCAACCTGAAGATCCACGCCAGGTAACCCCATCCTTCCCACACCTTCCTGGATTTTTGTCATTTTCTGTCAGATGTTTCTGATGAGAGGGAAAACTAATGGATCTCAGTCATGATCCTCACCCAGTGCCTGAGAATTAAAGAGTGAAGCATCTGTATAAATATGAACTGATACGGGAAAGTGAACATGGTTTTGTAAATGGAAGGTCATTTAGCCATCATGCCTGTGCTGTTTCTTTGAAAGAGCTTTCCTCCTGCTTTTATATTTCTCCGTTTAAGATATTTATCTAATTGTCTCTTAAAAGCTAATATGGATTCTGCCTTAACCATGGGTCAAGACACTTCCTAACAATCCCCTGTATCAACAACAAATTCTTCTAATCTCCCCCTTTATTCTATGGTAAATTTGTGCCTTCTATTTACTGACTCACCAATGAGTAGAATAATTACGTCAAATGAAGTAAAGTAATGATCACTGAGCTCTGTAGGTACATTTCGCCCACAAAATACATGGTCACTCCACTTTACAGTATATCCTGTGAAGCGTTTTGAGATGTTGCAACAATGTGATAAGGCTTTCTATCAAAGTGCAAGGATTATATTTTCTCAAACAACTCCATTAAATTTGTTTTACAAGACTTTTGAAAATCCATGTGAATTATTGTTAATTTACCCTCTAAGTGATTACTAATTTTATACCGTATTATTGCTGAAGTGTCAGTCAAGACTTTGAATTCAAAGTCAAAATGTGGGGCTTGGACCCATTAACCTCTGTCGTAAGGACAAGTCTTCTAGCAAAGCTAAGCTCACAAAGCAGTTCTGTGACAAATCGCCAAATTATTGTTTCTGTATTGGCCATTTGTGTGATTTGTTTCTCACTAGAAAACACAGTGGAGAGAAGCCTTATGTCTGTGACCGGTGTGGGCAGCGCTTTGCCCAGGCTAGCACACTAACCTACCACGTACGGCGTCACACCGGTGAGAAGCCGTACATCTGTGACACCTGTGGAAAGGCATTCGCTGTCTCCAGCTCACTCATCACACACGCAAGGAAACACACAGGTGAGACCCCACCTTATGCTCCCACCATACTGTGTTCCAACCACCTTACCCGTCATCACACTGACTGTGCTCCACACACTGTACCTTTCATCAAACTGCACTGCATTCCCACTGGGACTTGGTGTCCTGGCCCTTAATCCAAGCAAAACTGTTGTGTTTGCCAATTGCAAAACAAAACCTTAGGTAAGTTTGCTTACTCCACACGCACCTGTTTACCTAGCAGCAAGGAGGAACCCAGTTGTTAGTCGATTGGCGGATCGCTTTTCCGAAGGTAATAATCCCTTCAAGAAAACTTAAAATGTTTTTTAAAAAATCCCATGACTGTTTGTGGGACACTTACAGTATACTCTGTAAAGCATTCTCTTATACGTTTCAAAGATATGATAACGCGCTATACCCCCACCACCCTCCCTGATCCCAACACCACCACCCCCTCACTCCGCTCAGGTTTTAATCCCTCAGGACATCCTCCGACGTGAAAACATGAAAGGTGCTTTACAAATGTAATTTTGTATTGTAGATCAAATGCAAGATTATTATTGTGCCTCTTCTCCCACTTCATTCCAATAGATACATTCTAACAATGCAGCTAACAATTATCCTACTTGTTAATGGCAGATTGTATGTGTTGTTGACTTTGTTGCAGAGTGAGCCACCTTCTCAAATCATTTCCTCCTTTCTCTTTGCCCCTGTCGTGGTATCTTATCTCTGGGTGAGAATTACATGTTTCTTCCAGGTGCACTCTGAATTTCTCTTTGTACTTTGACAAACTCAACTCCTGATTGACTAAGAATTTCCTCCTTCCATCAATCCTTCCTACTTTAACAGTTCAAAAACATAAACTTGTTAACTCAACTACGTTCAGACTAATAGACTCCGACAGGATCATGAAACCCATTAACTCACAAAATCTTAACAAAAAGCCATAAACCGAAAGCACTTAAGCCAACATTTTTCACCTCAAGAGAGATAAACAGATTGATATTTCAATTAACAAATTCAACAGACTATGTTATGTGGCTCTGAGCACCTGTGACTCTTCTCCATGAACCCAAATACTCACCCTATTGCGATTGACTCTTAACTACCTCACACCACTAAAAACAACGCTGTCACTTGCTATCTTAATGGTCACTGAGTTTGTAATCTCAGTGAATGGCCGTGTGTGACAAACCTCCACCAGCATTAATCAGTGAGGAGACAGAACGCTGCGTCAGACCTGAGGTTCATGTGCCGTGACTGAACATTTCAGTATAAATAATTTATTCTGTGTGGATGACAATCTGGTACCTGTTTCTGTTTTATCATCTTTATGTGCTATGGAAACCTGTATAGTTTAGTGGGTAGAGCCCTCGCCTCACAAGCGAGCGGACCTGGGTTCGATTCCCGGGAAAGACGAAAAGTTGGGCAAGTTTCCTTACTTCCCACGCCTCTGTTTACCTAGCAGTAAGTAGGAATCCATTGTTAGTCAATTCGTGGATCGTTTTCTGGAGGTAATCCTTCAAAAAAAATTTGGTCACTCAATTTATGACTATTTGTGGGACACTGCTATGCAAAATTGGCTGCCGCATTTTGCACAGTATACAATCAATTCACTTTACAGTGTATTCTGTGAAACGTTTTGAGACGGCTCGAAGATGAGATAAGGCGCTATGTCAAATAACGATTATTATTATTTTATTATCATAATTGCTAATTGTTTTACTCCATGCAGGTGAGAAGCCATACAACTGTGGCACCTGTGGTAAAAGTTTCATCTCCTCAGGAGAACTGAACAAACACAATCGATCTCACACAGGTATTGATAATAATAATCATAATAATACTTACATTGGATGTAGATCAGAAGGTTTCCACCACACTTTAGCATTTTATGAATAGAATCCTAAACACTGCAAATAATTGTGAACACCTCTGCTAATTCATTGGCCTCATCTCTCTCTCGCTCAGCTTCAGTCCATTAAATCTAGAGTGTAGACAATGGAAAGATATTTGTTAGGTCAGGCTGTTAAGGTATATGGGGTAAGGATGGGTAATTGAGATACAGATCAGCCATGATCTTATAGAATGGCAGAACAGCCTCAAGGGGCTGAATGGCCACTCCTGTTTCTATAAATCTGGCCTTTTCGGGAGTGTTGTTTGATTCCCCCCACCCCCAGTGCTGCTTATCAGTTTTAACTAGCAATCAGATTATTCGTGATTGAGATCTAAATTCACTTACACAGAAAGATGCTGTTTTGTTTCAGGTGAAAAGCCTTTTATCTGTGAATTATGTGGGAACTCATACACAGATGTGAAGAATTTAAAGAAGCACAAGAACAAAGTTCACAGTAAGTCTTGCATCAGATTGAGGTAGGCATGTCAGCTCTTGCATTAAACCTATTTTGCCTCACAAAAAGCTATGTAAAAATGTAACCCTTAATCTGCACAATCCACAGAATATTTTACTCTGAATTCTCCTTATAAATCATTTTTCCAGCCTATGTCAGCATCATTTTTAATATCTGATCTGTTACAGTATAGCCTCAACTTGAGGAACCACCCAGCCTCTACAGTCTACACAATATATAGTTCTACATAGTAAAGGTCAGCCTGCCACATCAAGTGTTAGCCTGGTACATCAGGTGGCAGGCTGGCATATATATGGTAGTGCTCGCTCGACCCTCAGTCGGAAGGTTAGAATATATTAGAATATACAGCATAGAAACAGGCCATTCAGCCCAACTGGTCTATGCCTGTGTTTACTCTCCACATCAGCCTCCTCCTGCCTTTCCTCAACTAAGCCTCCAAGCAGAACCTTCTAGGTTATGGTTTCAAGACCCACATCAGGATTTTGAGCTCTCAGTCTAGGATAACAGGGGAGCGTTGTACTGTTGGATGTGCCATCCTTTGAATAAGATGTTAAACCAAAGTCTGGTCCACCTGTTCAGGTAGATGGTAGATGTTAAAGATGTGGAAATACTCAAAAAAGTGACCTGGCCAACAATCCCCAGAGAAAATTGATGGCAATGTTCTTGTGTGTGTCTGCTTAGCTACGCTGCTTAAAAAGAATCTGACTGGTACTTGCTCTCCACCTGGTGAGGACTCAAAAGTGCACTTATCAGATATCAAATGACAAACTAGTTTCTATTCTCCTGGGGTGGGGGGAAGTAAGTGGTGTCTACTTGGGGCTGAGCTAACTCTAAGGTGACGAGCTTGACAAGGTGTGTTGTGGTCTTGGTAGCAGGCAATATCAATTTTAGCTGGTTAACCTCCAGCAGTTACCCCCTCTCCCCCACCCCAACGCACACTCTGATGTCCCATAGTCTTTGCTCTCACCAAGCTGGACCTACTCTCTTACTCTCTCCAGAATTAAGTAGGCGGGGTGCATTCCTCCAGGCAGAGAGTGTGTATTCCATTCTAGACTTTCCAGGTATAGTCATGCATATGTGGAACTCCTTGTGTTGTTTGGATACTCTTAAAAATAGTAATGGGTTTCTGGATTTGTTGGACACCCAGCTGATCAAAAATAATAATTTTAGAAAACTCTTACACTAAATAAGTAAAAGAATTTGTATTTTGATCCACTAATATTTCTTTAAATTTCTGACTCCCCTTTTAACCATTTTCTCTATTCTAGAGTTCATAGAATCATAACACATAGTACAGCACAAAAAGAGGCCATTCGGCCCATCGAGTCTGTGCGGCTCTTTGAATAGAGCAATGTAATGTCAATCCCACTCCCCGGCCCTTTCCCCATAACCTGCAAACCCATCCTCCTCAAGTACTCGTCCACCGTATTTTTAAAAGTAGTTATCGAATTGGCCTCGACCGCCCTTTCAGGCAATGTTCCAGATTCGAACAACTCGCTGCTTGAAAAAATGTCTTCTCACCTCCCCTCGGCTTCTTTTAGAGACTATTTTGAATCTGTGACCTCGAGTCACCGACACACCCACCAGTGGAAACAGTTTGTGCCTTTCTAACCCAACAAATCACCTCATGATTTTGAAGACCACTATTGTTTTAAAATGTAGTGTTCACCTGTACTTTTTCTTTCTGTCAGTTCTAATGTTCATGTTTGAAGATATGAGTGTTTTAGTGCTTGTAAACTAGCTCAGGAACATTGCTTCACACAGATGTTTGTGAATATGTGGAAATCGAAGTCTCTGAATGCCATTCAGGCTTAATCAATGAAGATGGTTAAAAGGAAGATACATGGTAGATCGATGGGAGATGGATTTTATTGATTTGGTTTACGTAATTTTTTGCCAGAAAATGACATGGATGATGTGATCCAGTTGAGTTGGGTAAAACATTCCTAGTGTTCTTCCAAAAGAAGAATATTCAGACAAAATTGGATTTCAGTTATGGTTAATTTCTGTGTTATTATGGACCTGCCCTGGAGAGCCTGTGAGATGCAACACTTCAGCATTACATGTACATGAGAGAGACACATTCATCTGTTAAGAGGAGCAGTTGATCCAACCATTTGATTCTCCACTCTGAAAATACATCTTATTTTGACCAGTTGTGGGCACTAATAGTGGGTGTGAGACGTCATAGGAGCAGGCGTAGGCCATTTGGTCTTTCAAACCTGTCCCACTATTTTCCAGCAAAATCCATGAAAATGTGGTAGGTACCAACAGTGGGAGGAAAGGTTAAGTTGATTTTATTTTTAACCTTGTAGTTTCCTCTTTTTGCAGCTGAAAGAAACACTGAGAACAACGTTGATGACTGTGTGTTTGTGGACCAGGATTCCCTGCAGAAACAGCGTATAGCAGAGCCTGTGGAGCTGAAACCTCCCGGCCTCTCCCTCCCACTCCCTGTCCCTCTAGCCACCGAGGAGACTCAGATGTTATTGCCTCTGGCCGACGGCCAATCACTGGCCACAGACCCATTGCTGCGACCTCCTGTAACTGGTTACCCAGAAGCACAATTCATCTTTTTGCAGCATCTTTACTGATCAGAGGCACCAGATCCTGACGAGGGGAGGTGCTGCTTAGGGGAGGGGTTTAAGGTAAGACAACTTTGACCTGAAATAACTTACTTGAGCAAGCTTGATGCTGGCATTTAACAATCTGAAATATAGATGTAAAATCTCCCCAGAACAAAATATTTTATCTTGACTATAAAAAAGACCCAAAACAGACAATGGTTTTATATTTTTAAAAATGCTGCTGTGAAATTTTTTTTTTTCCCTGAGCTGATTTACTAGGATGGTGCTCAGGGATCATCTTGACATGGAAAGGCAGCCAGTATCAGGTTCCAAAGAAACCTGTTATCTCAGCAGCAGTTTGGTCCAGAAAGTATGTACTCAGAAATGAACTGGTCCAAGAAGAGAGTCATTGTATTTGAACGGGTTAAATATGCTGTTGCCTTTCAGCCAGTTGTAAGTTAGTCCAGTCCAGCCTGTTATAGTATATCTCAGTCTGGCCTGTTATAAGTATATATACCTCAACTAGTTTTGTAACTAGAATTTCTGTAAATAAATTGATTTACTATTCTTGCCTTTGTCTAATTTTCACATTTCTGACCTGTTACTTTATGTGAGAGAAACACTATTAGCCAGTGGCATAGTGATTTACTGGCTCTCAGTTCCTGTATGAGCCTTATTTGGCTTGTGAACTTCAGATTAACTCGAATCTTATTGTCTTGTAAACAAAGTAGTGTCCAGAGTTCCAAGCTGAAGCTTGGAACAACAGATGCTGGAAGGCTTCATGAACGCACACTTGTACATCAAGAGCTTGATATTGACCTTGCTTGGTAAGCAGAGAGGTGCTCAATCATTTCCTAATAGGAAGGAATCTGTGTCAGAGCAGTGGGCAGGAGGATGGTCACCAGCAAGCTCACATAGTTGCTGTCTCCATAGTGAGTGCTCAGACCTGCACTTTGTCAGATGTCAAACCAATAATGACTATTTTCCTGAGGGGGGATGGGGGTAAGAGGGGTCTCCACAATGCTGAGCTGGCTCCAAGGTGATGTGTTTATCAATGACATATCTGAATGATGGGGACTTTCTCATTCCCTGGTCAACAATGTCCCAAATAAAATTGGGTCAATCTTTTGCTGGCTGTTTTGGAGACATTTCCATGACAATACTGATGACATACATACCAGCCAGATTCGCTCATCAGCAAGATTTGGAAAAGCAGACCTCCAGTCACTGGGAGCAGGTATTCTTCACACTCAGCTCCTGGTAACCTTGATAACCAACAGGGTAGTCTAACCCTTCCTTGAACAAGCTGTAGGACTCTTGCCAAGAGAGTGCTTTCAATGGCAAGCTCTGCAGTTCTAGCTGATTAAAGTCAAGCGGTTACCCTAATACACACTCGATGGTCCACAAGCCTTAACTCTCACCAACCTGTCTGACATTAGGTAAATTGGGTGGGTCACTCCAGGAGGAGAGTCTGCAAAATAGGACATGGAGTGAATTTGCTGAGTTTCATTATGTGAAAATTGTAACAGGACAACATTATTACATTGAGAAAAGGCAACAACAACAACTTGGATTTATATAGTGCCCTCCATGCCAGACGGCTTCTCAGAGCGCTTCACAGTCAAACTAGTCAACTTGATCCATAATTTCTGCCCATTTCTTAAATTATTCTAATGCCACTGCTTGTAACTTTACTGAAAAAAACATATCACTGTCAGTCACCACGAGCCGCAGCTTTGCTCTGCACCACAGAAATGCAATTCCCCAAATAAAATTGCTATTTCTTTTCCTGGCTGTTTTGGGGACATTTCCATGGCAATACTGAGGGCAAGTCAGCCTCGGGGAGAGAAGGGCAGTACTCATGGCAAGTCAGAGCCTCGGGGAGAGAAGGGCGGTACTGAGGGCAAGTCAGAGACTCTTAACAGCTGTTAGAATATACACTTTTTGTATAATGTTAGAATCATAATAGATGTTGTGAATGGGTTAACTTTTAAGTTAAGTGTGGGGGCAACTGAACTGACAGTCATGGGATAGGACACATCTGTTTTTCTCTGTTTTTGAAAGAATAACAGACAGGGGCCGGGGATCACCTCTTATCAGTAAATGACAACAAACCCACAGAGGTAATGGTCCAATGTACCGGTCGACACAGGATCTCGACTGTAAGTTGCTAGATTCTGACAGGGCCAAGTGACAGAAGGCAACCCTCAAGAATAGCAACTAATGAGCAAGTTGTTTAAACTAGAGGACCTCGGTACCATCCCGGGATACTGATAAGGAATAACCAGTCACTTAAAAGGAATGTACTAATGATCCCACACCACAAAATAATGAGCACCAGATACAGCCCTAAACTGATCAATCCTCTATCTTAGACAATTAGATCAGATAACAGGGATCTTAAGGATAATGTGTATGTGTGTGAGGCACTACACCCCATGAGGTGCTCACGTGACACCCGCATGATTTGACAGGTGATCTAATGTCCGCACCATGATTGGATGAACATCGGTATAAGAGTTCCGATAACTTTGTGACGGGCCGTCCCGGGTCACGGAGACAAGGATACAGGAGATGGGGCCATCCCGGGCTGCGGAGACAAGGATACAGGAGATGGGGCCATCCCGGGCTGCGGAGACAAGGATACAGGAGACGGGGCCGTCCCGGGTGCGGAGACAAGGGTACGGGAGACGGGGCCGTCCCGGGTGCGGAGACAAGGGTACGGGAGATGGGGCCGTCCCGGGTGCGGAGACAAGGGTACGGGAGATGGGGCCGTCCTGGGTGCGGAGACAAGGATATCAGATGGAAGATTGAAAGCTGTCGGCAAGAAGACTGAAGTATGAAGAATCAAATTGTGTGCTGGAAAGACACAGTGTTGAACTCAAGACATCTACGGTGGTATTGTTCTGTTATAAGATCTGTTGATTGTATTGGCCTTTGGTCTCTGACCCATCGGGATATTGGGGAATAACGAACGAATAATAATAAATATCTGATATCTGGTTACAGGAATTAGCGTTATTTCCTTACAGATTTGGCTGATTTTATTTTTTAACGCAATACTGAGCGCGAGTCCGAGCTTCGGGGGAGAGGGCAATACTGAGGGCAATACCGAGCGCCAGTCCGAGCCTCGGGGGAGAGAAGCCGCTGCGCTGCTGTCTCTGTGCCGCGAATGCTGTGAAATGTTTGTAATGCGGTTGTGGCGGAGGCGTTGCTCGGGGTAACCGCGTCCCGACACCGGCGCCTGAATGGAGGACCTGAACGATGTGGTAACGCGGGGAGAGGGTCAGCACTGGGGAGGCCCGGGGGGGGGAGGCCCCCGGGGGGGGAGGGCCCGGGGGGGGCGGCCCGGGGGGGGGCCCGGGGGGGGCCCGGGGGGGGGGGGGGGGGACCCGGGGGGGGGGGAGGCCCCGGGGGGGGGGCCCGGGGGGGGGGGGGGGGAGGCCCGGGGGGGGGGGGGGGGGGGGGGGGAGGCCCGGGGGGGGGGAGGCCCGGGGGGGGGGGAGGCCCGGGGGGGGGGAGGCCCGGGGGGGGGGGGGGAGGCCCGGGGGGGGGGGAGGCCCGGGGGGGGGAGGCCCGGGGGGCCCGGGGGGGGGGGGGGGCAGCACTGGGGAGGCCCGGGGGGGAGGCCCCGGGTGGGGGGGGGGGTGGTCAGCACTGGGGAGGCCCGGGGGGGGGGTCAGCACTGGGGAGGCCCGGGGGGGGGGGTCAGCACTGGGGAGGCCGGGGGGGGGTCAGCACTGGGGAGGCCCGGGGGGGGTCAGCACTGGGGAGGCCCGGGGGGGGGGTCAGCACTGGGAGGCCGGGGAGGGGGGGGGTCCCGGGGTGGGGTGGTCCCGGGGTCCCGGGGGGGTCCCGGGTGGGGGTGGTTCCGGGGGTCCCGGGGGGGGCCCGGGGTCCCGGGGGGGGGGGCCTGGGGGGGGCCCGGGGTCCCTGGGGGGGGCCCGGGGTCCGGGGGGGGGCCCGGGGTCCCGGGGGGGCCGGGGTCCCGGGGGGGCCCTGGGGGGGCCCGGGGTCCCTGGGGGGGCCCGGGGTCCCGGGGGGGGGCCCGGGGGTCCCGGGGGGGGGGCCCGGGGGGGGCCCGGCGGGTCCCGGGGGGGGGCCCCGGGGGGGGGGCCCGGGGGTCCGGGGGGGGGGCCCGGGGGTCCCGGGGGGGGCCCGGGGGGGGGGCCGGGGTCCCGGGGGGGGGGCCCGGGGGGGCCGGGGTCCCGGGGGGGGGGTCCCGGGGGGGGGGGTCCCGGGGGGGGGCCCGGGGGGGGGGCCCGGGGGGCCCGGGGGGTCCCGGGGGGCCCGGGGGGGGCCCGGGGGGGGGGGCCCGGGGGGGGGCCCGGGTCCCGGGGGGGGGGGCCCGGGGGGGGGGCCCCGGGGAGGGGGGCCCGGGAAGTGAAAGCTGAGATCACCTCTGCACTTTGACGCGGTATTTCAATGGGTTATTGCGGACAGTGGCGGTGCCGCGCGGCCTCAGTGTTAAGAAGATGTTTATTTTCGAAGTCTCTGCGCTGTTGATGTGGACGTTAACGATCCCATAACGAAGTTCAAATAGAAAGCTGTCTCCCCCTGTGCTGTGCCCTGGTGCCTCCCCCTGTGCTGTGCCCTGGTGCCTCCCCCTGTGCTGTGCCCTGGTGCCTCCCCCTGTGCTGTGCCCTGGTGCCTCCCCCTGTGCTGTGCCCTGGTGCCTCCCCCTGTGCTGTGCCCTGGTGCCTCCCCCTGTGCTGTGCCCTGGTGCCTCCCCCTGTGCTGTGCCCTGGTGCCTCCCCTGTGCTGTGCCCTGGTGCCTCCCCCTGTGCTGTGCCCTGGTGCCTCCCCCTGTGCTGTGCCCTGGTGCCTCCCCCTGTGCTGTGCCCTGGTGCCTCCCCCTGTGCTGTGCCCTGGTGCCTCCCCCTGTGCTGTGCCCTGGTGCCTCCCCCTGTGCTGTGCCCTGGTGCCTCCCCCTGTGCTGTGCCCTGGTGCCTCCCCCTGTGCTGTGCCCTGGTGCCTCCCCTGTGCTGTGCCCTGGTGCCTCCCCCTGTGCTGTGCCCTGGTGCCTCCCCTGTGCTGTGCCCTGGTGCCTCCCCCTGTGCTGTGCCCTGGTGCCTCCCCCTGTGCTGTGCCCTGGTGCCTCCCCTGTGCTGTGCCCTGGTGCCTCCCCCTGTGCTGTGCCCTGGTGCCTCCCCCTGTGCTGTGCCCTGGTGCCTCCCCCTGTGCTGTGCCCTGGTGCCTCCCCCTGTGCTGTGCCCTGGTGCCTCCCCCTGTGCTGTGCCCTGGTGCCTCCCCCTGTGCTGTGCCCTGGTGCCTCCCCCTGTGCTGTGCCCTGGTGCCTCCCCCTGTGCTGTGCCCTGGTGCCTCCCCCTGTGCTGTGCCCTGGTGCCTCCCCCTGTGCTGTGCCCTGGTGCCTCCCCCTGTGCTGTGCCCTGGTGCCTCCCCCTGTGCTGTGCCCTGGTGCCTCCCCCTGTGCTGTGCCCTGGTGCCAGGCCGCCAGACAGCATTGGCCTCTTCACTTCATAGCTATTTGTGGGACATTGAATCATAGAATTATACACCACAGAAAGAGGCCATTTGGCCCATCGTGTCTGCGCGGCTCCGAAAAGAGCTTCCAGATCAAGCCACTAGTTTGTACCAATCCCATTGCTATGTACAAATTGGCTGCCATGTCGCCTCAAAACACAGTCACTGCACTTTACAGTAAATCCTGTGAAATGCATCCAGATGTCCTCCTGATATAAAAGGTGCTATATCAAATCCAAGGATTATTTAGTGTAAAGAACTTTAAAATATAATTTTGTTTTTTAACCTGAATCAATTAGTTATTGAGGAACCCAGGCCAGCTGCTCACAGTAACAAACTCTGAGCTACACTTCTAAATAATTATTTTACCCTAAACAGGATGTTTTTAAGCAGAGCTGCAAAGTTCATCCTAACCCAATGATCATTGCTCAGGTCTGTTCAATTATGTGTCATCAATCAGTTATCTCACAATATGTTACTGTGACAAACAACTGGTGCCACGTCCAGTGTCTGCAGGCTAGTGCCCGGTGTCTGCAGGCTAGTGCCCGGTGTCTGCAGGCTAGTGCCCGGTGACTGCAGGCTAGTGCCCGGTGACTGCAGGCTAGTGCCCGGTGACTGCAGGCTAGTGCCCGGTGACTGCAGGCTAGTGCCCGGTGACTGCAGGCTAGTGCCCGGTGTCTGCAGGCTAGTGCCCGGTGTCTGCAGGCTAGTGCCCGGTGACTGCAGGCTAGTGCCCGGTGACTGCAGGCTAGTGCCCGGTGACTGCAGGCTAGTGCCCGGTGACTGCAGGCTAGTGCCCGGTGTCTGCAGGCTAGTGCCCGGTGACTGCAGGCTAGTGCCCGGTGTCTGCAGGCTAGTGCCCGGTGACTGCAGGCTAGTGCCCGGTGACTGCAGGCTAGTGCCCGGTGTCTGCAGGCTAGTGCCCGGTGACTGCAGGCTAGTGCCCGGTGTCTGCAGGCTAGTGCCCGGTGTCTGCAGGCTAGTGCCCGGTGACTGCAGGCTAGTGCCGGTGACTGCAGGCTAGTGCCCGGTGACTGCAGGCTAGTGCCCGGTGACTGCAGGCTAGTGCCCGGTGACTGCAGGCTAGTGCCCGGTGACTGCAGGCTAGTGCCCGGTGACTGCAGGCTAGTGCCCGGTGACTGCAGGCTAGTGCCCGGTGTCTGCAGGCTAGTGCCCGGTGACTGCAGGCTAGTGCCCGGTGACTGCAGGCTAGTGCCCGGTGTCTGCAGGCTAGTGCCCGGTGTTTGAGGAGATTTTGTGTCCAAAGTTCACAAACCACTGACCAGTAAAGAAAGGTTTAAATTTAGAGATGGCTCCAAAAAGACTGATTATCTCTAGCCAGGTTAGTGTCTGGAATGCACATACAGTAAACTCCTGATACCTCATCACTCCCAAGGGAAACAGACTCAGCGACTAGTTATCTGGAGTGGCTAGTTAAGCATAGGTCCTCCTGGGCCACAAGGGGCATTGCGGGTGTTTGACAGAGGTGAGGCACCCATACTAAAATGCATTGTAGAGGTCTCTGCTATTGGAGGGCCTCCCACCCTATCCTGTAGCAAATTCTTTTAAAAGGAAATTAGATAGATGTTTGGAAGAATATTAAAAGGTGTAGGAAGCAAGCAGGGGAGTGGGATTAAATGGCTCCTGTGGAGAAAATCATCAGCACAGACCTTATGTGCTAAATGGCATGTTTTTATACTATTGTGTACTGTCGCTGGATACGAATGTCTCTTCTGTTTTTAGGGAGAAACCTCAAGCCCATATTTTTTGATAGAACGTTATATAGATTTGTGTACAGAGCTGAAACTGTTGCCAAACCCATATATTGTGGATGTCCTTGAGCAGATCTTCCAGTTATCACCACAGTGAGTACCCAATCTATGAGGTGGCATTTCTCGTCAAAGATGTTCACACGTTTTGAATGAGACATTAAACTGAGGTCTCATCTGTTTTAGGTAGACTTGCACAATAATGTGACACTTTTGGAAAAGAAAAGGGAGTTTCTCCTGGTATCCTGGCCAACAATCTTTCAGATTAATTGGAATCCTATAACTCAATGGTTAGAGCACTCGCCTTGCAAGCAAGAGACCTGCGTTCGATTCCCGGCAGGGTGAAATGTTGGGCAACTTTCTTTACTCCACCCACCTCTGTTTACCTAGCCATAAGTAGGAACCCGGTTCCTAGTCAATTGGTAGATCACTTTTCCAGGGATAATAATTCCTTCAAAAAAAATTGGTCACTTCAATCCATGATGAACCATCTGATCTAATTTAATTCCTCTGTCCTCCCAAACCCCTTTATATCCTCAATCTTAAAATGTTTATCTAATTACTTTAAGATTGAAAATCCACATCTAATCCTGTTCCCAATAACATTTAATCGTGTGCTGTTGTCTGCATCCCTTTTATCTCATCAACCTATGCTCAAACCGGATTGTCTCAAGTTAGTCTTTAAAGTTCTTTCGTTGACGCACTACTAAATGTATTGGTGTACCCTATCTCAGGTACAATAAAATCCCTGAGATGCAATTATAAAAATGAAACACATACTTTATACATAATTGTTTAAGGATGTTGTACTGCTGTCTTTATACTGGAGACGAAATAATTAATTTGCCTACAAATTACACGGTCACCACACTTTACAGTATATCCTGTGAAGTACCTTGAAATGACCTCCTGACTCTTTATCAAATAGAAGGATTATAATTGTTATTGTCCCTTCTGTGCAGCCTCTTACATCAGACTTTCTGAGATTTACTCTGTTGAGTTCACACAGCCATAGGTGCCACAAGCGTACCACATGCCTAAGCATTTTTTTTTAGACAATGAGTTGAGTGTTGTTGTCTGTTCCCATTAGGTTAATGAATTGTCCTGCTTCTTTTCCAGGAAAGCCTATGCCGGTTTTAGGCTGTATCTGGCTGGAAATTACAGATATTTTCCAGTAAAACGTTTGACAGATTCTGATGCTGTTGCATTAGTTTGTACTCTGTGCAAAGTATCATTTATCACAGGTTAGTCCTTCCCTGCTGGATTCTATTGTTTTTGTCTCTTTTATTAATTTCTGGCTAATTCAAATTCAATTATTTCTGGTATCAGAACTCAAAGTGGTCGTCTATATCAAATGAATGCTAATGAACTTAATTTGTAAGAACATAAGAATTTGCTAGGCCAAAGAAGATCAATGTCCAGTTCGCCCTCCACCATCCTGTCACGTGACATGTTATGTCCCAAACTATTTATTGATAAGAACATAAGAATTTGCTAGGTGAAAGATCCATTTTAGCTACACTGAAACGTTTCTATCATTAGCCATCATTTTGCTGAATACCTTTGCTGAATACTGTTCTATCTTTCAGGTCTTGACCTAAGATACAATAGACTAACAAATTGTGGAGCAGAACATATCGCAAAACTCCTGCTGGTAAGCAATGAATTTCTGGGGTGAGGATTGTAGAAGAAACATTGAAACTTCACTGCAATTTGCATTAGCACAGACACGATAGGCAAAGAGCAGGGGACTGTAATTAGAGTACAGAACTCCAGTGAGAAAGTGAGCACCAGTACAGACATGTTGTAGAAAATACAACAAATAGGATTAGAGTAGAGAACTCCAGTGGGGGAGCGAGCACCATCACAGACACGATGGGGAGAGAGGAGGGAATAGGATTAGAGTAAAGAGCTCCAGTGGGGGAGCGAGCACCAGCCAAGTCATGGAGGACTCCTGTTACTTCAGATAATTCTATGGTTGTGACTTCATTTTGAACCTTCAGTTGGGTTTCAACACAGCTCAAATTCTATGTCTTCAGACACTTTAATAATAATAATAATCGTTGCATTTGATATAGTGTCTTATCACGTCTTCAAAGCGCTTCACAGAATATACTGTAAAGTGAATTTACTGTTTATTTTGTGGGCGAAACATGGCAACAGTATCCCACAAACAGTTGTGAATTGAGTGACCAGATTATTTTTATTTATTTCGAAGGAATTATTACCCCCGGAAAAGCAATACGCCAAAATCATCTAACAACCGGGTTCCTACTTACTGTTAGTTAAGCAGAGGGTTTAACCCTGCCGGGAATCAAACCCAGGTACTCTTGCTTGTGAAGCGAGTCCTCTAACCACTAAGTTACAGGTGATGTGGTTTGTCCCATTCTAAATGATCGCTTTCAAGTATGAAATATATTACCACAAGAAGCATCTGCTTTTCAGTCCTTTTACTTTATAGTTACTCTTCACTAAAATTAGAAAGTCCTAAAGAAGCTCAAATCTCACCAATTCTGCATATCTCACACATTTGGGATATTGATATTTAGGAAGAAATTCAAAGTAGCAAAATTATTTTCATAAACATTAACTGCTTACATCATCACCTACTTCTGCCACTTCATTCATGCATTTGTCACCTCCAGGCTCGATTTTCCCAAGCCTCTCCAGTTCCACTCTCCATAAGCTCCAAGCTACCCAGAACTCTACAGCCCGTATAGTCTTCCCATACCAGGGTCAGCAAACACATTACCCTATTTTCCAATGGATTGATTTTAAGATCCTCATCCTTACCTTCAGATACCTACTTTTTCTTGCCCCACCCTATCTCCATGATCTCTTGGTCATCCCGCTATTGTGCCATCTCTGACCTATTTAATGTCCTCTGTCTCACCAATGGTGGGTGAGCTTTCAGCCACTTTGTCCCAAATCCTCAGGAATTCACTTCCCAAATCCCTTTATCTCCCCTACCCTTTTGGCTATCAAAACCTATCTAGAAACTCACCTCCCTTCCAGCTCAGAAACCAATTCTATGAAATGTTCATGCTGTATGATCTTGTATCCTTATCCAGTTTATTATTGTGCATTTACATGTTAATGAGTACTCATTACTCAATATTCCAGGGAACTCAATCACTCGAATACCTTAATCTAATGTGTAATGAGATTGGTGTCAATGGAGCAGAGTGGCTGGCAAAAGCATTGCAAGTAAGTCACAGGATGTTTATCAAGCAGAGAGCAAGGTAACTGCACAGGTGTTTGATGTGATATTTTACCCGTTTTCTGACCAACTAGATACTACATACACTGTGTGCTTTACAAGGAACAGGAAGGATCCAGGTTTGATTCCCAAACTATGGTAATTTAGCTGATCTGAATCCAGGAAAAATACATTACATTAGAATACATTAGAATATACAGCACAGAAACAGGCCACTTGGCCCAACTAGTCTATGCCTGTAGTTCAGTGGTTAGAGCACTCACTTTGCAAGTGAGAGACCTGAGTTCAATTCCCGGCAGAGGGCCAAACCTCGGGCAAGTTTCCTTACTCCACACAGAGCCTAATAATAATCCTCCAAAACAAAACAATAATAAATTGGTCATTTTCAATCTACGACTGTTTGTGGGACATTGCTGTGCGCAATTGGCTGCCGCGTTCGCCCACAAATATACAGTCAATGCACTTTACAGTGTGTTCTGTGAAGCGCTTTGGGACGTCCTCCCGACGTGAAAAGCGCTTTATCAAATGCAAGAATTATTATTATTATTATATATGCCGGTGTTCATGCTTCACATGAGCCTCCTCCTGCCCTTCCTCAACGAAGCCTTCAAGCATAAACTAAGCCTTCAAGAATAAAGTGTGGTCTAACCAAGGTTCTATAGCAGTTTACCATAACTTCCCTGCTTGTCAATTCTATCCCTCTAGAAATGAACCCCAACCTGATTTGCTTTTTTAAGGAGCAGGACTCTTAATCGAATTTAGTAACCTGAGCTCAGGGGGAAAACTAATCGCCCATATCTGAGGGAATTATTTGGAAAATGATTCAGTTGAAATAGATGAGAGAGCATTTGTAGTATTTTTTACTTTCTTTATTTTTTATATATTTTTTACATTGGACCAGTCAAATAGATTGTGATAGTTTTACATTTCTGTACATTCCTATATTCACAGAAAGTCTGCTGGACATTTGTGTGTTGGATTCTGATATCCCTTAAAGTTGAATCATGCAACCTCACCAACTTTCCAGATCAAAGAAAAGTAGACGGGTTAATGCATAAAATAGTTGGAAATTGCGGAAAAGAAGTTAAAGGAAATAATCAAATCTTAGATTTAAACAGATTTGCACCTCAAACTACAACATTTATAGATTACATATATTATTTGCACATAACAACAACCAATTGCGCTATACAAATAAATTTTGTTCTTGTTGTATTTATATAAGCAACCTACATGTGGGGCAGCATCTCGAAGGATTTAACAGTAGCGGAGTCTGATGCCGAGCTGGTGGGAGGTGACCATAAGCACAGTCGAAAAGCAGGTCTTCAGGCGCGATCTAAAAATGGGGACGGAGGGGGAAATGTAGGGCCATTGCTGGAGGAGCGGAGTGGACGAGGACAACAGGAGGCCGGAACCAGTCAAGTGGAGGTGGCAGGTGGTGGAGTATGGAGTAAGCAGGTTGGAGAGGTAGGGAGGTGCCAGGGTATACATATTTGTAGACGAACACGAGAATCTTGAACTATGATAGGGAGCCAATGGACCGTGGCAAGGACTAGTGTGTTAGTGGTACAGAGTTTAGAGCAGATGAGTATATGGGTAGCAGAGTTTTGAATTGTTTGGAATTTGTGGGTAGTGGAGCTAGGGAGACCGGTGAGAAGGGCATTGAAATTACGTGACTTGACAAAAGCATAAATGAGAGTGTCAGCTGCGTTGGTGGTGTGAGGTACGGTCGGCAGTGGGAATCTGATGGAGGTGAAAGAAAGTGGTCCTGTTAGGGACGGATACGAGGTAGACAAGACAGTTGGGGATGGTACCTGATGCCGAGTTTACATATAGGTTTAGTAAGTCTTAGGGATAGGCCGGAGAGGTTAAGGAAGTCAGAGCGACAGGGGAGAAGACATGACAGAAGCCAAGGCGTATGGCTTCCGTCTTGTTGACATCCAGGCCCTGATGTCTGACAAGCAAGCTGGCAGAAAATCAGCGGACCTAGAGTCACAGCTGGAGGAGAAGTAGGTTTGGGTGTCATCTGCATACACATGGAAGTTGACCCTGTGTCTATGTATGATATCGTCAAGAGGGAGCGTGTAGATAAGGAAAAAAGGGGGCCAAGGATGGAGCCTTGGTGTACCCTGGACGTGACTGTGCAGAGGCAGAAGGAAAAAACATTTGCAGAGACGAAGTGTTGACGGTTGGTTAAGTAGGACTCAAACCAGGCGGTTGAGGAGGATGGCATGATCGACTGTGTTGAACACAATGGAGAGGTCCAGGAGGACAAGGAGGCAAAGGGAACCCTGGTCACAGAGAGAGGATTTCATTTGTGACTTTGCCGAGCGCTGGCTCTATGCCATAGTCAGGGCGGAACCTGGATTGGAGATGCGAGAGTAGGGAGTTGAGGGAGAGGTGTGAGTGAAGTTTTGGCAACAATGCGTTCCAAAACTTTAACACTCAAAGGCAAGTTAGAAATGGGATGCTGGAGTGCAAAATAAACCAAGAGTGCAATACACCATTAGATTGATCACTGAACAAATGCTAAAAAACATACTTTTTGGGGTGATTAAATTGCAAATATTTCTAAAATTATTTGTTCACAGGATGAAATGACTTTACTTGCATAATTGTTTTAAAATGAGTTTTTTTCTTAATACAGCAGAATCACACACTGAAATATTTGAGGATGAATGGCAATAAATTTGGGAATAAAGGTGGGATGTATTTTGCCACAATGCTGCAGATTAACTGCACTCTAGAAGACTTGGACCTTGGAGACTGTGATCTGGTAAGCTGTTGATCATACTGGCCCTTTGAAAGAGCTATCCATTAATTCCCATTTTATTTCCCTGTACCCTTTTATATACAATAAACTCCTGATGACTAGTAACTCCAAGGGAACAGGGCTTAGCGACAAGTTATACAACAACAACAAATTACATTTCTATAGCGCATTTCAGATTGAGTTAGGAACTTCTGGAGACTACTCCGGGAAAAAATAAATTTTCACTTAAAAAAAATGGGTTAATAAAAGATAGCCAGCATAGATTTGTTAAAGGCAAATTTTGTCGAACAAACTTGATAGTTTTTTGATGAAGTAACGGAGATGGTACATGAAGGCAGTGCAGTTGATGAAGTTTATATGGATTTTCAAAAGGCATTTGATAAAGTGCCACATAAAAGACTTGTAAGCAAAATAGAAGCCAACGATATTAAAGGGACAGTGGCAGCGGATACAGAACTGTCTGAGAGAGAGCAGAGAGTGGTGGTGAACGGTTGGTTTTCTGACTGGAGGGAAGTGTGCAGTGGTGTCCCCAGGGATCAGTATTGGGGCCACTGCTGTTTTTGATCTCTATAAATCACTTGGACTTGCGTATAGGAAGTACAATTTCCAAATTTGCAGATGATACTAAGCTGGAAAAGTAGGAAACAATGAGGAGGATAGCAGTAGACTGCAAATGGACATAGACAGACTGGTAACGTGGGCAGACACGCGGCAGATGAAATTTAATGTGGAGAAATGTGAAGTGATGCATTTTGTGAGGAAGAATGAGGAGACGCAATATAAGCTAATGGTAAAATCTTAAAGGGGGTGAAGGAGCAGAGAGACCTGGGGGTCATATAAGTATGAACCTTGCTCCTCCACCCTCCCCACCACGCCTCGCAGATACTTGCCTCTGACTCCCATTGCGAGGAAATGCTGGACTTCCTCGAGTCCAAAATCGAGGGAATCCACTCAGCTGCCACTGCCCCCTCAATTTCCACCCCCTCCCTACCCGCCATCCCACCCCCCCCACCCTGACACTCCGACCACTAACCATCTCTCCTTTCACACCTTTACCCCCTCCTCTATCATCACCACCATATCCTCCATGAAGCCCACTACCCTGGACCCCATCCCCACCCCTCTCCTTAAATCCCAGCTCCACCTCCTTGTCCTACTACTCGCCGACATCATCAACCTCTCCCTGTCATCTGGCACTGTACCTACCCCCCTCAAAGCAGACACTATCACTCCCACCTTGAAGAAACCTTCCCTTGACCCATCACAGCTATCCAGCTACCAGCCCATCTCCAATTTCCCTTTTCTGTCCAAGGTCCTTGAGAGAGCGGTTGCCTCCCAGCTTCGCTCTTTCCTCTCCTCCCACTCCCTCCATGAGCCCCTCCAATCGGGTTTCCATGCTGCCCACAGCACGGAAACTGCTCTGGTCAAGGTCACAAACGACATCCTGACCATGTGTGACCAGGGCTCCCTCTGCCTCCTCGTCCTCCTCGACCTCTCCACCGCCTTTGACACTGTGGATCTTCAATCATTCAATCCACCACCGCCTTTCTTCCCACCTCAACTTTCAAGGTTCTGTCCTTGACTGGTTCAGGTCCTACCTTTCACACTGCCTCCACTTCATCTCAGCAAACAGCTTCTCCTCCAACCCCCGCACTGTCTCGTGCGGTGTTCCTCAGGGCTCTGTCCTCAGTCCTCTCCTCTTCACCCTCTACATGCTCCCCCTTGGTGACATCATCTGCAGACCCCATGTAAATTTCCACATGTATGCGGATGGCACACAACTCTATCTCTCTGCCTCCACCCTCATCTCCAGGACTACTGGCATCCTGACCAACTGTCTGTCCAAGATCATGTCCTGGACGAGTGACAACCTTCTCCAACTCAATGTCAGCAAGACCGAGGCCCTCCTGATTGGCTCACGCCAATGCCTCCACACCTCGGGCGCTGGCAGCATTAGCCTCCACGGCTGCACACTCAACCAGTCAGGAACCTGAGTGTCTTGTTTGACCCTGAACTGTCCTTTCTCCCCCACATCTGCGCGTTGACCGGCACTGCCTACCACCACCTCCGCAACATTGCCAGACTCTGCCACTGCCTCACCCCTCAGGCTGCCCAAACCCTCACCCATGCATTCGTCACATCAAGGCTCGATTATGGAAATTCCCTCCTTATCTGCCTTCCCAACTCTTCCCTTCACAAGCTGCAGATCATCCAGAACTCTGCAGCTCGTGTACTCTCACGCACCAGGCTCCGTGACCCCATCACTCCCACCCTCGCCCGTCTCCACTAGCTCCCCATCCCCCAGAGGATCGAATTCAAGATCCTCGTCCTCACTTTCAAGACCACCCATTCCTTGCCCCCTCTTACCCCTCTGAGCTGCTAACTCCTACCAACCTGCCCGCTTCCTCCGTTCAGTGGGCTCCAGCCTGCTCCATGTCTCCCGCCCGACCCACCCTACCATCGGTGGCCGAGCTTTCAGCCTCTCTGCCCCCACACTCTGGAACCCCATCCCACAGTCCCTTCACTTCCTCCCTTGCCTCCCTTGTCTCAAGACCCTCCTCTTTGATTGTGCCTTCAGTTGGCCTCCCACCTCTCTGCCTTCCCTCACCTCTACCTCACCCCTCCCCCATGCCCGGGTCCTGACCCTTGACTGTCCAGCTCCTTGGGACTTCCTCCCGACTTGAAAGGCGCTCTGTAAATGTAATTTTGTTGTTGTTGTAAGTAAATCTTTGAAGGCAGCAGGACAGGTAGATAAAGCTGTTAAAAAAGCGTACGGGATACTGGGCTTTATAAATAGGGGCATAGAATACAAACGTCAGAAAGTTATGATGAACCTTTATACAAAACACTGGTTAGGCCTCAGCGAGAGACTGTGTTCAGTTCTGGGCCCCACACTTTAGGAAGGATGTCAAGGCATTGGAGAGGGTGCAGAGGAGATTGACCGGAATGGTACCAGGAATGAGGGACTTCAGTTATCAGGAGAGGTTAGAGAAGCCGGGATTATTCTCCTTGGAACAGAGGAGATTAAGAGGAGACTTCATAGAAATTTTCAAAATTATGAGGGGATTCGATAGGGTGAACAAGGGGAAACAATTCCCACTGGCGGGTGAGTTGGTAACCCGAGGACACTGATTTAAAATAGTTATTAAAAGAAACAAAGGTGAGAAATTTTTTCACACATTGAGTTGTTGGGATCTGGAATGCATTGCCTGAAAGGGCGGTGGAAGCCGATTCGATAACAGCATTTAAGAGAGAAGTAGATAATTATTTGGGGAGGACAAGTTTGCCGGGCTATGGGGAGAGAGCGGTGGAGTGGGATTGAATTGGAAGCTCTTTTCAAGGAGCCGGCACAGACACGATGAGCCAAATGGCCTCTTTCTGTGCTGTATAATTCTATGATTCTATGATAGGCCCTCCCAGGACACAAGGGGCGCTGTGCAGATGTTGGGCACATATGCTTAGAGGGATCTGGTCTAATGAAGGGCTGCACCATGGGTATGCGGGAGGCCAGAGTGCAGCCTCCAACAGGCCAGAGGCCTCTGCGATGTATCTGAGCAGGTGCACACAACCTCTGCCCCCATTAGTTAGGGGATTACAGGGGGCCTCTGTGATGCAAGAGACCATCTTATCGGATGACTTATCCCATCAATGTTACTGTAAGTATTTACAAGAATTTCTACATTGCGACTACAATGTGTAAAGCAGTGTGACAAGTGGAGTCTGTTATTAACCTTTTTGCGTGGGAAGCGGCCTGGATATTGACAGAACAACTATTTAAGTGGCAGTGACTAGTTAGTGATGAGTTAGTGACGACTTGAGCTAGTGTCTTGTTGTCAGGCGTTTATTGTAGTTTGCTTTTAAATATTTGTCCAGTTTGCCTTTTGAAGCTTTGTTGTTAGACTGAATGCTTTGGTGGGGAATTGCCTTTATCATCTTTAGCCAGCTGTGGGCTCTACTTCTGAAATAGCTGTAGTGAAAGCCACAAAGGTGAAGCGCTCATCAAATAATTCACTCACTACATTTTGTAAACATGTGTTTCTTTTTGTTCATTTTCTGTTTTTCTCACTCTAGGGAACAGAAAGTCTAATTGCACTAACAACTGTGCTAAATAAAAACCGAAATCTCAAATCACTGAATGTCAGCCGACCTCTGCTTCATAGCTTACAGGTAAACAGTCTGTCTGGACTGGGGGCAGCTAGCAAGTTGAACATGAACAGTTTCAGACAAAATCAAACCGATGGTGTGGAGCCAAGGAAAAGATACTTCAGGAGCTTGTAAACTGAAAGTTTTTAGAGCTTCCCTCAAACTTTAAATAAAAGCAGTTGACTGAGTCACACGGACAACTCATCTTAACTGGTTGCCTAAAGAGCGAATTCCAAATGTCCTTGATTATCAGCAATCTCACTGCAAACAGGTTTATGATTCATTAGCACAACTCACAAATTGGACCCTACCAGTGCTAGTTTAAATAATATTCCCTGTTGGCAGTGAATATTCCTCTTATTTGAGCTGTTTTTATATAGAGATGACTGAAAGAAGTCCAGATTTGATTACATTTAAACTTGCAATGAAAATTTACTTTGATCACAGAGAGGAAGATTGGGTAATTGTAGACTTTACAGGAGCACTGAGGTCATAAGATGAATTTAATGCAAAATTTCCGAGTCTGTGTTGGCCAATGTTTTCTAAATAAACCTGGGCTTGATCCAAAAATGATGTTATTGTCTTTAGGAAAAGGTAACTGCGCATGTAGCTCTCATGCTGTCAATTAATCAAACTCTTCAAGAACTGCACCTCGGGAAACAAGGGTTGAACAATTTTGACGTAGACCAACTTTGTGAAGCATTGCTTAGAAATCAAACCCTTCGATACCTTGATCTTCGCTGGTAAGGATTCATATTCTGTTTTCTTTATAAAGGTAAGAAATGTAACCTGCCGAGGCTAGGTTGCTCATGGATGTTTGGTATGACTGTATTAAATCAACTTCCTCACCTTCAAATGCCTTAATGGCCTTTCTGCACCCAACCTCTGTGATATCCTGTGACCTTAGATATTCTCAAATATAGCGCCTTATCACATTGAAGTGTCTTAAAGTGCTTCACAGAAATTACTGTTAAATGTAGTAACTGTGTGTGTATTTGTAGGCAAATACAGCTGACAAATTACATATAGCAGTCTCCCACAAACAGCCAGGAGGTAAATGGCCAAATTAACTGGTCAATTTGTTGACCTGAACATTGGGAGAAACTCCCTTCTATTTTCCAACAGTGTCAGGAGTGCTTTCATGTCCACAGTATCTCCGACAGTGCAGGACGTCCCTGACACTGCACTAGAGCATTAGCTCAAAATACCTGACCAGGGACTTGAACCTACAATCTTCTGACCCAGAGGTGCGAGTGCTACCAACTGATTCAACCTGACATAGATAAGAAATAGGAGGAGAGGATCAGAGATAGATCACCAGCTTCCAGCACATGTGATACTATACACCTGCAGGACCAAGATGGCAATCATTAGCGAAAAAGTAGTGATGATATTGGGACAGATAGGAAAAGAAAGTACCTTTCATTGTGAGGTTGCGGAGTTCACCATGAACCTTGAACAGCTCATGTTCTTCAGGATTCCATGAGAAACTCTTAACATACCTTAACATATGTTAAAAATACTTTAATATGCTTATGTCATAGTTCTTAATGAATGCAGCAATAGAGGTTCACTGATTATATTATGTAGAACAGTGAATTTATGTATACTGTTTTATTCAGATGATATAAAGATATATGTGTATATTATAAATTATATATATGTTCTAACAGTAACCAGATATCGCGTGATGGTGCTCGGAGCCTCGCAGAGCTACTCAAACACGACACTCCTCTGCAGATTCTGGATCTAACTGCAAACAGGATTGAGGATGAAGGATTGGTGTATATCAGTGAGTCTTTACTCTACTTGAACCACAATCTGAAAGCGTAAGTACAGCAGAAGAGCAATTTGGCTTGTGTTTGTGTGCTGCCCATTATATGTTATACACGCAACGCAACCTGCACACCTGAGCTCACACCTACCAACTATGCAGAGGCTCTGGTGGGTAAAGCAATCATATCAAGCTGTGGGTATCACTTGATCTGGCAGGAATTTCAAAATGTGGGATAGCTTTTTAGCACATGGAATGGATTTTTAGCTGTTGAATAGCAGGACTTTCTTCTTCAACAACACCTTGCATTTACACCACGGCCCTCACACGGGGTAGCGTCCCAGTGAGCTTGATGGTGGCGGAGCACAACGCCGAGCTGGGGGGAGAGGGAGGTGATTGTAGGCAAGGTCGAATAAGAAAGTTTTCAGGCGTGACCTGAAGATGGGGAAGGAAGGAGCAAGGAGCAGGGATAGAGGAACAGTGTCCCAGAATTTCGGGGCGTAGTGGCTAAAAGTACGGCCACCAATGGTGGACCTTAGGGTACGAGGGACATGCAGAAGGCCAGTTGAGCAGTGGCAGTGGGTTGTGTGTTGTGGGGTAAGCAGGTCGGAGAGCTCGGGAGGTTCCAGGGCATGAAGAGAATTTGAAAACCAGTGAGAGGATCTTGAAATTGATCTGTCGGTGATGCAGAGCCAGTGGAACTTGGCTAGAACTGGTGTGATGGGGGTACGGAGTTTAGGGTGGATAAGTATGCGGGCGATGGGAGTTTTGAATTAGTTGGACCCTGTATATGGTGGAGCTGAGAGTCCGGCAAAGAGGGCATTTGAGAAGTCGATTCGGGAGATGATGAACGATTTCTTCGGGCCCAATCCAGAGAATAGCCGGCAGGTTACTGAACTTTGACCGACAATGCAATCATCTAAGCAAACAAAATATTAGTAGATTTCATGGCAGAATGGCTGAATGAATTTCCAGACAAGCATAAAATTAGAGCAGAAGATTATTGTGTTTTAGTGCTGTTTGTAGAAAGGACATTGCAGTATCAAAAGGGTGGCAAAACGGATTTCAAAGATCATTCTCTTACAAAGGTCCATATGAAAAATACAACCATATGATAGCAATATTATTTTCGATCAGCTTTCTCAAAACAAAACAAGGTTACAGTAGATTTTACATTTTGACATTCATTCATTACTGATGGATAGTCTGTCAAACATCAAGTCCTGGCTGAGAGCTAACTTTCTCCAGTTGAATGTCAACAAGAACGAGGCCCTCCTGCTTGGCTCCCATCAGCACCTCCACACCTCGAGGACTGACAGCATCACCCTTCATGGATGCCCTCTACAACTCACTGAGCCAGTACAGAACCTTGGCATCTTGTTTGACCCTCAACTGTCCTTCAAACCTCTCATCCACGCCATGATCCATTCTGCCTTTCCCCCACCTCCGCAACATCGCCGGCTCAGGCTGCCGTGGCCCTCATCAACGCATTGATCACATCCAGACTCGATTATACTAACTCCCTTCTTGTCGGCCTTCCCGATTCTTCCATCCACAAGATTATTCGGAACTCTGACTCTCGTATCATCTCCCACACCAGGCTCCGGGAACCTATCACTCCCATCATCACCCGGCTCCATGTCCCCTGCCTGGCAAGCCCCACCATCGGCGGTTGGGTCTCCAGCTTCTCTGCCCCCTCCGTTTGAGACTGCATCCCACATTCCTGTTACCTCACTCCCTCCCTTGCCTCCTTCAAGGCCCGTCTCAAAATTCTCCTCTTCGACCGTTCCTTTGGTCACCCTCCTACGCCTACCCTCCACCCCTCCTGGTCGCAACCCCCAGCTCGGGTGCAAATCCTTGACTGTATAGCACCTTGGGACATCCTCCCAACGTAAAAGATGCTGTACAAATGTAATTTGTTGTTACATTATTTATTTTCTAGATCTATCATTTCAGGTTGGCTGTGGTCAGTAATTCCATCACTGGGATTGGTTTGGTTGCATTTGCAAACGCCTTAAAGGCCAACAGATCTCTAACTCACTTTTATTTCTGGGGCAATGAAATGGACGAAACCGCCTGTAAAGTAAGAAAGTAATTCTTGCCTTAGAAACTAATCTTTATCGGAACATATGAAAATATTTGTAGTATTTTATATACCTGACATAGAGTATTTAAATAAAATTTAGAAGACTGACTAACTCAGAAGGTCACTGGATGCGAGGAATTAGCATTGACAGTTACAGACCGAATATTGCCAGTAATATTCCTCCATTTCAGAGCAATCGTCATTTTCCAAAGCACAGCACTTTCAGCCAGTAAAAAAAGTGGTATTAATCTCGATTGGAGTCCTGTAGCTCAGTGGTTAGAGCACCCGCCTTGCAAGCGAATCACCTGGGTTCAATTCCAGGCAGAGGGCGAAACCTTGGGCAAGTTTCCTGACTCCACACACCTAATCTCTCCAAACAAAACAATAATAAATTGGTCATTTTCAATCTTCGACTGTTTGTGGGACATTGCTGCTGCGTTTCACCCACAAATATGCAATCAATTCACTTTACAATATATTCTGTGAAGCGCTTTGAGACGTCTAGAAGATGTGAAAAGCGCATATCAAATGCAAGGATTATTATTATTATAGAATAATACAAAAGCTAATGGTCAAGACCAGTAAAACAAGGCAGCAGAAAGGACTAATTAAGACACAAATCAAAACCTTATGGCCCAGACATTCTTGTGGGTCTTGCCAATAAATTAGATTGATTCTAGAACTACATTGTTGTTCCCTTTTGAAAGGCATGGATTCTGCCTCACCTACCTCTCCCAGCAGGGCAATCCATACCCCGACTACTCTGTGTGAAAACATTCTTGTAACCATTCCATTACAAACGTGGGAAATTTTGAACACGACATATGTGTGCAACATATGTGACATAGGTGACATATGTGCAACTAGTGTTTGCTTTGGGTAGTCTTAAAGATGGCACTTAGTTTCTGCATAAATCGGATACTGGGCTGACAGAAAAATATTCTGGATCATCTACAAATTTCAGTATGCTCTGAAACTGAATTCAGCTCTGCCGGTGATCAATATATCCTCAAAGAGCTGTTCTAGCTTTGTGCCATAGTGTTTCATGTAGTATGTGTAATGGAATATGCTAGTACTATTTGGGCAGGGCTGTACAGAGCTGGATGCTGAGTGAGATATCTTGAGTGAGTGTGAAATTTTGTTGTATTCCTTTAATAGATTTGTTGCATTATTTCAGGTATTTGCGAATCTGATTAAAGTTGGCCGTTTGAAACCCAATCGAACTGATGTTCAACCGTACTGGATCAATGGGCGTGTTTATCTAGCTGAAGTCTCCCATGGACTGCGGAAGCATTATTACTGGACGCCAATAAGCGGAGAGGATGAGGAGCCAGCTGCTAATGCTGGTCCTGCGCTGCTCAAGGCGGCGCCTGCTGCCTTGCCTAATGGGCAGCAGATGTAGAACTTCAGAATGGATCAATCAGCAGCTAATCAGATAAATAATTATTCCAAATGTAGCAAGTGAGATATTTTATTTACGTGCAATTTTTTAAAAATATCTTTAGTGCGTGTTAACGTTTCACATAGATTAAACTTGTTTATTTTCTTGTTAATTATCAAAAACTAATAGCTATGGGAAGAAGTGTACATTTTTCAATAAAATATTATACCAAAAATAAACTGAGTGACTAAATTGCCTTCTGAGACAAAGATCAGCCAAATACTACATATAACTTCCTTGTTTTCTAGAAGTCACACTCATACCAGCTAGAATATCCTCAAGCTTCAGACCAAATGCTTGTGTGATACTGACCTGGAGTAACCTTAAAAAAGACCCTTTCTGAAAGAATTTTTTTTTAAAAAATGGGATAGATAATTGCTCTTTGCTAATGTTTGGAACGTTTCGCTTGGGTGGAATGAATGTAAATAAATGTAAATTGGCTTCATATACTTGACACAGGCTAGGAAGGGATTGAGTTGTACTCAGTGGAAAGATTTTCACTATAATAAAAATAACAATAATGCTTGCATCTCATTAAGCACCCTACCACGTCATTGCCAACCAAAAAAAACAACAAATTGCATTTATACAAAGCCTTTGAAGTTGAGAGGACATTACAAGTCACTGGATGGTGAAGGGTTTGGAGGTGGGAGGATGACTGAAGGCATGGTCAAAGAGGAAGGTTCTGAGGTGGGCCTTGAAGGAGACAAGGGAGGGGCTCCAGGATGGAGTTCCAGATGATGGGGACAGAAAGGCTGAAGGCCTGATTACTGATGGTGTAGTGGGATGGGCGGGAGACATGGAGCAGGCCAATGCCTGCTGAGCGGAGGAAGCGGACAGGTTGGTAATGTTTTAATAGATTGCAGAGGTAGGGAGGACAAGGCTGTGGAGGGCTTTAAAAGGCAAGGGTGGGGGTGATCGGCTCAAGGAGCTAAGTGCGAGAGAGAACACAAGCTGCAGAGTTCTGAACAATCAGCAGTTTGCGGAGGTTTGTAAATGATACACCCCTGTTCAGAAAAGTGGAGAAGGATAAACCCGGGAACTACAGGCCAGTCAGCCTGACATCGGTGGTGGGGAACATCTAGAGACCATAATCCAGGACAAAATTAATTTTCACTTGGAAAAACATGGATTAATAAAGGACGGATTTGTTAAACGCAAATCATGTCTGACAAACTTGATTGAGTTCTTTGACGAAGTAACAGAGAGAGTTGATGAAGGTAGTGCAGTTGTCTATTTCTGGGCACCACACTTTAGGAAGAATGCCAGGACCTTGGAGAGGGGGAAGAGGAGATTTACAAGAATGACACCAGGGATGAGAGACTACAATTATATGGAGAGATGAAAGAGGATGGGATTATTCTGCTTAGAGCAGAAAACGTTGAGGGGATATTTAATGGAGGTGTCCAAAATTATGAGGAGTTTTGATAGAGAAGATAGGGACAAATTGTTTCATCTGGCAGTAACCAGAGGACACAGATTTAATATAATTGACAAAAGAACTAGAGGGGAGGCGAGGAGAAATGTTTTTACCCAGAGAGTTGTTACAGTCTGAAATGCAGGGCCTGGAAAGATGGTGGAAACATTTTCGATAATAGCTTCAAAAGGGAATTGGATAGGTACTTAAAAAGTGACAATTTACACGGTTATGGGGTAAGAACGGGGGAGTGGGACTAGTGGGCAGCTCTTTCAAAGAACCGGCACAGACAAAGGTCGAATTGCCTCCTGTGCCGTAATATGTAATATACTGTGCTGTGCTAAGGTTCTGTGCTTGTGAAGGGAAGAGTCGGGAAGTCCAGCGAGCTTGGACATAATGAAAATATGAATGAGGGTCTCGGCAACCTGAGGGGAGAGGTAGTGGCAGAGGCGGGCAATATTGCGGAGGTGTGGGAAGCCGGAAAGGGTCATGGCACAGATGTGGGGTTTAAAGGACAGTTGAGGGTTGAATAAGACACCAAGGTTCTGTACTGGCTCAGTGAGATGGTGTGTGCATTCATGAAGAGCCTGGGAAACTGTATGCCAGAGGAAAAGAGTTAACCGAGGTCCCGTCCATTATGTGGAAGTTAACCCCATTCTTGTGGATGATACTTTGACATGTCTGAAAGCACTTCACAAGGTATAGTGTAAAGTGGATTGACTGTAATTTGTGGGTGAAACTTGCCAGCCAATTTGCACACATATATGAGTGACTGGCCAATTCATAGAATCACAGAATGATGCAGCACAGAAGGAGACCATTCGGCCCATCGTCTGTGCCAGCTCTTTTAAAAGAGCTTCCAAATCAATCCCACTCGCACGCTCTCTCTCCGTAGCCCAACATGTCCTCCCCAAATAATTATCTAATTATCATAATTATCTAATTATTTGGGGGATTGTTGGCCAGGACACAGTGATAAACTCTCTTCTCTTTTCAAATGATGCCATGGGATCTTTAACATTCACCCGAACAGGTGGGTGGGACCTCAATTCACTCCCTTCCATGGGCAATGAGTCCTGGCACCATAAGGCTTGTGATTAAAACCAACTAACTTGTGGACCTAACGTGAAGCAAAGGGGGGGAGACAGCTCCTTGAAGGATCAAAGCAGTCATTTCAGCTAATTCTGGAATTAGCTCCTTCGGAACAGGACATGTTGCTCCTCTATAATAGCTGTGGATAATGCCAGTCTTGACCTC